GCAGGTATTTGGTAATAAAATCGGGATGCATCCTCGCAGAAGGTAAGTTAGGGGAGAACATGCTGCTTTGGCGTGGGCCATTGAAGCCAATGTCAAAACCATACGTAAGGCCATGAAGTACATATTTAACAAAAGCTTGATCGGGGTGTGCACGCAGTAAGGAACGGAGGCGATTAACGTGAATAGGTGTGCGGCAAGTGTGAAAGAATGTAGGGTGTGTCCGGAGAATGCTACTATCGAGATGCAGTTCATTAAGCTTTGTTCTGCCGCTGGTTGCCAGTGGAGAAGCGACGCGGGCAGGAGGGGTGGGCATGTGCGCCCTCGCATTGGGAGCAGACGTGGGCAAATTTACAGTCGGTGTTGGAGCATCGACCTTGCTGGAAATTCCGGCAGATCTCTTTGCCAGACTTGGTGTAGGCAGACCGTGGTGCAAACTGCTGGTTTGGTACTCGGGAGGCACGAAAAGGGCACTGGCTACCCGATGGAGGGTGAGTGATCCGGCATGTGCTACACTGCGGGCGTGAGCGGCCTGTCATTTTCAGTTGCCAGAGATTGCCGTCAATGGCGTCCCAACGCTTACTGGGGTCAAGAGAGATTGCCAGACGGAACTCCCGGTCATATTCGAGCCAGGCCTCCGGATAGTATTAGGAGTTGGCCGATACAATGGTGGCCTGATATGCCATCAGTTCGGAGAAACAGCTGGGTGCATGCGAGCATAGTACGAGCATATATCTGGACCAGGCTTCTAGCCATGTAACCAGGTCGTGAACATGCCTACGAACTTTCTCGACATGCCCGCCAGAGCTGGGATCCAGCAGCTCAACAGTCCTGGACCCACTGAAATTCAACTGAATCGTGTCACGCTTTGGTGCCCCAAGAGCTTCCGGTAACAGTGTATTCAAATCAACACACTCACCTCGCAAAATCCTCTCTCTCTCACGTGAGACGGCACGTTCAGTGGATGAGATAGAGAGCCAGCACCCGGACCAGTTGGCGCAGCATTTCCGGTGGGTACAGCCATGGCGGGGAAGGCTGCGAGGATCCGATGGTGGCAAGCAGTGGGGAGACCGTTTCTGCCAGGGCGGCGGTGACGGCTTTCTGGACTTCGTCAGATATAAATTGCTTGAATTGTCCGCCGTCGAGTGGTGAGGCAGCGTTACTCGGCAGCTCGGGGTCCGCAGCCGAAGAAACAGGTGGGTCGGGAACAGGGCTAGGTGCTGCGCGACGGGTTCTATTCCTGGTGCCCGACATGACTAGGCAATGACAGTTCGGTCAGCAAAAGACAAAGGCAGCAGGATACAAGTCGGGCATGAGCCAAAGCAGAGAAGACTCAAAACTGAGAATGGCAAGGAGATGTGCCACGTTGCGGACTCGGACCCGATCAAAACTGAACTAATTATTGTGATGGCGTACGCATAAATTAATGTGATGCACAGCAGGCGGTCTTGCCGGTCGCGGCAAGGCGCGCTAAACAAGTGCCGCGGCCAGAACCGTAGAGGGCGCTGTTGCGCAGCAGATACGTAGTCATGGTAGTTGCGAGATGTGCGCCTACGCTAAACTGAATTCATTACATGAATACATCATTAATAACTGCACATTTAAATCTTAGTTGTATTGGTTTAAAGATAAATGATGGGCATACATTGGGTCAGCCAAGGAAAATACCAGCGGAAGCAGTACAGCAAGAGTCGGAAAATAGAGAAAATATTGCAACCTCAAGCACATAAAGGAATTACCCAAAATGTGCAAATGTGAAGAAACCAAAACACAATAGTGCAAATATTGGAGCTATCCACTGTAAGGCCACTGTTACAATGCACATTTTTAAAGCTCAAAGTTGGCTCCTTTCATCCCTGGGTGGTCCTCATTGCCCCGCTACAACAGTTTCGTCTAGACACCCTCTCGGTGCCGGAGATGGGCAAGGTACAAAAGTGGACTAAAACATGCTTTGAAATTAAGTACAAGAATGGGGGATCACGCGGCTGCTCACAACAAAAACTTCACATCCAAAACAACTATGTTCGCACTCCGATCAAATTTACCATGTAATGTAATGTAAGCCAATCAACTGGTGACCAGCAACTTGCTGAGTCCATCTAAAGAATTGTCCAAAGAAAGCCATTGCGTAGACCATCTTCATGGCTAGTCGCAGCAAGGGTACCTCCTAATATTTGAGGTAAACTACCACCATCAGGCGCGTACGCAGGGGGGGGGGGGGTTCCCGTTGCCCGGAAACCCCCCAAATGTTCCAAACGAGCAACGTTTTTGGGCATTTATTGGTAGGGCGCATGATCGATCTGGCAAGAATGCAAAACTTCAAAAGATCGTAACTCAGTCAAATCTCGCTCAAATCCAACGATCCAAATATCCACAGAAAACTCTCAGCTGTCGGTTGAAACAATTTGTGAAGCGCTACGAGCAATGTATCGTGAGATAAATCATTCGTAAATTGAGCCGCGGTCTCAGCAATTTCAAAAGCGCGCAGTGCGATTTGAGTATCGAGAATTTGAGATTTTCGTCGCGCTGATTTGCTCAAATTTGCAGGGGCTTCCCTTGGGGTATTTTCAAGAGTACACAGGAAAAAGTCGAAACTCTGCGATCAAGAAAAACGAAATCGCTGGAGCAGGACGTGTTTGGGCCTGTTTGGGGCATTTTTCGCACCGTCGCTGCACTCTACCGCTATAGCCTATGGGCTATACTGGCTATAGCGCTGGATATGTATATCACTGTACTGTGTCCTGGCTATCAGGGTCGACCTCATTCTCTCCCTGATACCTTTCCACTTCCAGGAAGCCCAAGATAATGAAGATTGAGTGAGTAGAACTGAACTGAAGTTATCCAAACAACACGAAAAAATGCATAATTTTGAAAATTTCCTAGGGCTCTTTAGGAAGGGTTAACCCGACTGCTGCATGGACGATAAGTGCTGCGAATAGTGATCATGCACCCTGGCCTGAGTAGCTCGCTTGGCTAATTGAAAGTCTGCTGACCTGGGCCACATTATGTTGCTAATACATGCACAACCCCAGTCACAGCGCAAAAGTTGGTTGAGTTTGGCCGTCAGGAGGCCAGCGCAAGGTATCCGGGGCGCGGGTCTGATTCCAGCGAGGGGCAATGTGGTACCCCGCAGCGCAAGGGTAGCGTGATACCCTAAGCCAACGTGCGTGCTGCATGAGTAGCGTGATACTCGCCGAGCGCTTTTGCTGTTGCCTAGCAACGCGTTTCTGTCTTTCCTGGGCCCCCAGATGCATGTTGGGTGGCCCTGCGCATGACTGCACGTTGTCATAGCAACCTTGGAAATCTCAAGCCGGTTACCAACAAGCTAGGAATCAGACCAAGCCGCCGAATGCCCCCGCCGGCCCCCGGCGCTTCATTGCAATTGAATTAATATTTTGTCCAGAATAGTGAGCTAGGACAGATCAAATACAATGTAGCTTGGAGTACCATCATGCTGAGTGGCACTCATTGTGAGACGTAGGATAGTGTAGAGCGATAATAAATACCAGGAGGCGTGGGTGGGAGGGAGAAATTGCAAAACAGTTGGATGCACGCAGCAGCACAGCTAGCAACAGAAAGAGCCGTGGATGGGTTTGTTCCTGTTTTTGATGGCTGTGGCCATCCGTTCGCCCAACGCTCGTGTGAGTACGGCGTTTGTTTGTGCTGCCAGCTCGCGTCCGGCGTTTGTTTGTGCTGCCAGCTCGGGCCCGGTGCGCGAGTGAAACCGAACCGTGACAAAGGCTTTCGCTCTTTAGTGCTATTTACTGGCTTTTCATACGATGCCTATTGATGTCTAGAGACATGCTGTCTAGCCTTCCCCTGGTACGCATTCACGGGGCTTTGTTGAAGTTCGTGCCGTGAACTGCCAAAGGGAATTGTTTGAATGGTGCTGGGGCGAGTGCGACATTACGGCGTCCCTGCAGCCGGCCTAATCGCGTTTGTTGCCACAACCGATTTTAAAACTAACACACTTACACACACTTTGTTACTCGTTGTTTGGGATTCGGTTGAAACCCCCTAGAGGTGACCCTGCGTACGCGCCTGACCATAGTCTGCTACAACACAGCGCCAACAAGTAGTCTTGAACAAACTATCCAAAAATCATTTGGGGAAATGTTAAAATGTTGAACTCTCCAATGGCCATACTCTCGCGGAATCCAACCTCGCATCAGGAAAACACATGCGGAGCGCAGCCACTTGCCTGTTTTCTAAGCTACCAGCACTGAAACAAAATGGGCGTAATAACTGCCCTAGCAAACCTTCAATGAAGTCGCCACAAAGCGCCACTTGCTGAAAAAACTGAGCGCAACATGACAAAAAGGAGACCTGGTTTACAACAACAAATGAGCAAGAACTGCAACAGTCGCACAAGATCTGCCAGGAAGTTCTTGGGCATACACAGGCAAAATGTGCATCCAAAATCTCACTAGAGCCACTTCAAATGCAGTATAACTGGTCAAGGCGACCAGTTGTTCCTGAGGACCAATGAATCTGGGACCAATGGAAGTTATCTCCAGTCAACTGAACCAGGATAAGAATACCACCTCTATACAAAGACCACATTTAGAGGGTTCCTTGAGCAGTCACCTTAGACAGGTTTCACTGTATAATACCCAAACTACTATGGATTTAGATACAAACCGCACATGAAAGGAAACTTGTTTGGCCATTTCCGAAAATGGTAAAATGGATCCATTGTTTGTCACTTTTGCATCTAAACTCTTCACATGTATCATACCAATATTAGGGAGGTTAAGCTCATAAGCATTGCTTCTAGGACAGAGGCCTGGAGCAGGGAGGAGTATCTAGGGATCAGTTTCAAAAACATATTAAAGGTGGTGCAGCTGCAGACCTACGTTTTGTGTGATCGTAAGTAGGAGAATGTGATAAAGACATAGGGTTAGAGAGATGATATGAATATTTTTTACATGCATACTGGTGAATGACATCAACATGTTGCTCTTTGAATTGAAGAAGTATTCTACTGTGTTCTTTGCTTTCAGCCCGACAATGTCCCGCTCCAGGAAAACCTGATTCCGGACAATATCGTGTAGCACGGCAAGGGCAATATGTCTCGAGACCTTTCCAATTTGGTGACACTGTTTTATGGTTTTGCAATAAAGGATTCACAGGAAATACCCGTGCTGTATGCCAGGCAGATGGTAGATGGAGCAAGAACACACCAACCTGTACACGTACGTACTTTCGGGACTCTGATTGGAACCCACTACCAGTTTGGCCTTTGTTTCTAATCATAATTTACAGCAGTTTCATACTAACCTGCAACATTTTACCTTTTTCAATACAGTGGAGATCGGATATAACGACTTTGTATAATTATAACGACAGATTGAGTTTAGCGACGCAATTCTGTTGCCCTAGTCGTTTAGTAAGTCCTTTGTGAAGATCGGGTTTAGTGACAGGTCGAATAGTGACATTTTGTTCTCTCCCAAAGGAGTGTCGTTATATCCAATCTCCACTGTATTTCAGTAAAGAGAGAAAGGACCAATAAGTCGCAAGTTATGACTAACAGTTCACCAATGTAACGAGATATTATACAGTCAGATAGTGCGACAACAAGGCACAAAACTGAAAAGGATATTGAGGCATTCAACAACCTGACACTTTCGTGGCGAATCCCTTCCCTTCATTGGAACTTTCTGCAACTGAGCCTTCCAAATTGGAAGATTGTTGGTTTGCGCTTCGTAGATGTGTTAGAGTAGGGTTGCTGACTGATGATGTCTCAATATGCCTGTCAGTTTTGAGACGTCATGGGAAAATTTCTGCTCTAGTGGAAACTCAAATGAAGCCGCAATGAAGCATCACTTGCTGAACAACAGCACATGACAAGAAAGATAAACTGGTCCACAACAACAAATCAGCTAGGATTGCAACAGTAGCGCAATATGGCCCAGAACGTTCTTGTGTACTAGACAGCTACTGCACGAGAATTTAAAAGAGGGCATGTCCGAGAATACCAAAGTATTAGGCTAAGTCGATCTCTCCGATTTTGCTCAAAATTTGCAGATAGGTTCCCATTGGGGTGTAGATCGACTGTGCAAAGCTCTTGAAAACGTTTCTGAAGGAAACCTTGAAACTCGCATACCCCGAAAAATGGCCGAAAAATCACATCATTTGGCCCAGTATCAGCGAGACTCGACCTTCGGGTGAAAATCATTTTTGCAGGAAAAGTCATTTCTGCAACGGCAAAAAACTCTTGCTTCGCGCTCTGCACATTCAAACAAAAAATTAGTTCATCGCAACAATGAATGCTTTTGATCTTCCTAGTAGTAGGAGAGTTCGCTCACGATGGCCAGCTAGCTGTCTTCCGGCTCTGCCAGAAGCCATTAATAGCATTATATTTCCTAGGCAGGAATCGTCGCGTCTGATAGAGAACGACGACAGTTTACAGAAGATGTTTTTGTCGACGCGCAATTCCTATTTAGCGACGAGAATTTCAACTTGATTTAGGCGCTCCGCCGAAGGAGCTCTCTGCTGGCAAAAGTACTTTCTGACATCTGATAATCCTTGTAGGGCCCTTCTGAACTTAGTACAGCTCCGCTCAGGGGAAATACTGAACGAGGAGAAACTAGTGAGGCGACGGCAACAGAGGTAGACGAATTGAAATGCACTGGATCAACTCGAGTCAGGGCGAAAGAGCGCTGCCGCTAGTGACATGATCTGAATTTTTCCAGTCTCCCACACTGGACTCCGCGGTGAACACCAAACCCCTTGGACGGGGCAAGAGCTGAACATGATTGATGAGCTACGAAATCTCTGCGCTAAGTTCTGGAATCATGGCGCACTGACGCGCATGCAGCCAGTTTCCCACAGAGCTCAAACTGGAAGTAGTCACGAGAAAGCTTTTGGTCTCTGTTGTTCTGCCTTGTGTATCTATCCATCCATCTATCTATCCATCTATCTATCCATCTATCTATCCATCTATCTATCCATCTATCTATCCATCTATCTATCCATCTATCTATCCATCTATCTATCCATCTATCTATCAATCTATCTATCCATCTATCTATCCATCTATCTATCCATCTATCTATCCATCTATCTACCTATCTATCTATCTATCTATCTATCTATCTATCTATCTATCTATCTATCTATCTATATATCTATCTATCTATCTATCTATAAGGAGGAAAACTACCTTGTGCCAGCGGAGAGGGCTCAACACAATAATGTGGAGCACTATTACAAACAAAAAGGCACAATGGAGTTTTACAGATTTGTCGCAACTCAGAGTTTCTTGCTCAATGCAATCATCAGGCGACTATTACATGCTCAGTGGGACTTAGCCAATATAAAGCATAGCCTAGCGATAGCTGGTTGGTGTTTGATTCAGCACAGAAAATATTGCCATGATGGCCGTGTGGATGGTTGCTTAGGTGAGGGAGCTATTACAGCACCGGGGTATTAGCGCAGAAAGTGTAGATTGCTATTGAATATAGAAATGGAAGGTGTGAATTTGTAGACAGCAGCCAGTGTGTGACGGTAATCCCTCAGAACTGTTAAAGTGTTATTGGTGATGCGGAGGGCTCTAGGCTCACGCGTATGTGCTCGCTTCAGATCGTGTCACAGTATACTGTATGTTTGTTTTGCAAGTGCACGCAGGTGTGTATGTGTGTACATGATTGTACATGTATGTGTGTGTGCATATGTGTGTATTGGGGATGTTGCACACCTGTGATTATGTCACGGCTGCACTGTGGCTTTTGAGTAGGAATTTGTTGGCGTGTCAGCATTTTGATACGAGCTCACTCCTCTTGTTCAGTAGCGTTGTCTTGTCCGCGGTGATGATCTGCAGTTTTTCTTCCGGGCAGAGGTTGCATCTCTTGCTGATGTTGCTGTAGGCTCGGCGTTTCTTCATGATGGACCATCTGATTGATGTCTGTTTGCCTTTGTCTTTCATTTTCCATGTGTATTTCGAGAGTTCGGTGGCATTCTCGTACTTTGGATGGCGCATAGATGATGTGTGGTTGTTGAAACGGTTCTTGAATGCTGGCTCCGTCGAGCCGATGTAGTGTTTGATTTGGCCGTTGTTTTCTCTGGTGCCTTCCGCTTGGTAAAGGACATTTGTTGCCTGACACTCGCCACGAAGGGGGCAGTTCGGCTTGACACGGCAGTTACAGGGTAGGTCAGGTTTCGGCTGTTCCAGTATACGTTTGTTATGGCCGCTGATGAATGCCGACACGTTGGGCATACACGAATAACTGATTTTCACGGTATTTGAATTGAAGATTTTCGCCAGCCTCGAGCCTCTGGGGAAATGCCGCTTGACAAGTCGTAGGAATGCGGCTCCCACATCCGTCTGCACGTTTCTGGAAAAGGGCGGGTTGAACCATATTACTTTGCGTTTTCTTTTTCTGTTCCTTCTGGGTGTGTTCTTTTCAACATATGCTATGTTGTCTGGTAAACCGCTCGATGCCCGTGCTGTCCTGTAAAGCGGTGCAGCTTCTGTAAATACTTCGCTGTCTGCGGAGATGTCTGACAATCGTCGAGCCACTGCTGGGGATATATTTTTCGGGATGACGGGCTGGTGGTTGCTGCTGCTGTAACGTACAAATATTGGCTAAGTCCCACTGAGCATGTAATAGTCGCCTGATGATTGCATTGAGCAAGAAACTCTGAGTTGCGACAAATCTGTAAAACTCCATTGTGCCTTTTGTGTATCTATATATCTATATATCTAACTAACAGTTATCTATCTATCTATCTATCTTGTGCAACGCTCACTGCTCTTGGAGCATTTCGAGCACTCTTGGCGGGGTTTGCAGCTCTTTATAAAAATGCTTCGCTTCACGGAAACGTATTTCATTGCGAAGAGCTGCGCTTCGGTCCTCTGAGCTGTGCTGAGGAGCTCTAACAGAGCGAAACAGTTGCTGCCCACATATTTGAGTATCTATCTATCTATCTATCTATCTAGAGTAAGGTCTGGTTCCACACAGCTGCGGAGAGGTATGAAGTTGTCTGATGAGTGCTTTCGCACGAGACTCAGAGTAACAACGAATTTCTCGGCTATCCATCGCTTGATGACTTGTGTATCTATCTATCTATCTATCTATCTTTTTCTTTCTCTCTCTCTCCATCTCTCTTTTTTTCTTTTACAATAAATATTGGTGAACAGGTATACGTTGCCAAGACCAAGGGCAGCTTGCCAATGGAGATAGCACATCGACAGGCCAACAATTTGGTAGTACAGTAAGATATCGATGTCATACAGGCTTCTACATGGTGGGTTCTACAAGTGGTGTTGTTACTACACGATGTTTGTCCGACACAAGGTGGTCTCATGATAAACCCACTTGTTTGCGTAAGTACGAAATAATTTTGTATCAGGTACAGGTTGGTGGGTTTTCCATCCCGCAACGTTGCAGATATGTAGCCCAGTCCTGGTACGGGATTGTTTATGTTCAGTAGAGGTGCTACTCTTTAACAGAGGCATACCCTATGATCAGTCTCATCAACTTGCAACCACTTTTTTAGATGCACACAACCCATAATATGATGTCGGCATTTGTTTTCGGGTATTGAATAACATTTTTCCGCCATAATCCTGTTTTCAAAAGACCCCAAACATACAGACACAGCACTTCCTCAGAACGGCGCAGCAACCTGGATGCAGTTTTTAATGCACTGCGTGTTTCTCTGTGCTTCTCTATGGAACAGCCCGTACATGTCCTGATCCAGGCAGTCCAACATTTGGCGGCTTCTCTGTTCAAATGGAAATACAGCGTGCCAGTCTGACACCCTACCTGTACAACGACACTGTCACATGGACATGTGATATCGGCTATTCTACTACTCAACCTACTACTGCTGTGTGTCAGGCTAGTGGAGGATGGAGTAACAACCACCCAGACTGCAAACGTATGTCTTCTTTTCTTCTTCTTTTTTACAAGATAGCCACAAATCATCATGGTGCAAACACCGGCCAAAAAAAGCACAGACGCACATAGCGATGGCAGCCGAAGCAGTGGAGGCAGAG